GGCTCAGAGGTTGCCCCCCTGCAAGCCTTCCAGCGTGGGGGGGCCTGGCGTGGCCCCCCCCATTCCTACAGCGCTTGCCAGAGCGACCCCGGGACGGTTTGAGGCCTCTCCCCGCCTTCCCCCGGGGGGAGGTTATAGATATCCCGGACACCCCCCACAGCCGAGGAACGGGGGGAGCCCCGTGGCGGTGCCGGCTACCGCCTCCTCCGGGGCCGCTGATGTCGGTTTTCTCTCTCTGGTTGCAGGGGGCGCCGCCCAGAGGCCGCCGGGAGCGAAGAGGTGGGTCCGACGGGCCTGTCCCGCGTAGGGGGGATTTGCTCCATGCCCTCTCCTGTCCCTGTAATTAGCCTAATTCAGTTTAATTAGCTCTGCTAGACCTCCGCGGCCACCAAACGAGAGTCTCTGGGAGCCAAAATCCCACCGGAGAGGTGCTGTGGCCGCCTCGTTTTTCCTAGGATACCATTTCTGATAAGTGGCCACCTCATTTTTCTTAGGATGCCATTTCGGACAGATGGCCACCTCATTTTTCCTAGGATGCTACTTCCAGCAGGGGTGGCCACCCCATTTTTCGGGGACTGGCTGGCTCTCGGGGTCTGTCTCTGAGTCACAAGCTCGGCAGAATTTCCCCCCTCGTGGCCCAGGGCCGAACTCACAGCCTGATCCTACTCCACCCTTGGTGGGTTTATTTGGCAACCGCCGCTGGCTCAGAGGTTGCCCCCCTGCAAGCCTTCCAGCGTGGGGGGGCCTGGCGTGGCCCCCGCCATTCCTACAGCGCTTGCCAGAGCGACCCCGGGACGGTTTGAGGCCTCTCCCCGCCTTCCCCCGGGGGGAGGTTATAGATATCCCGGACACCCCCCACAGCCGAGGAACGGGGGGAGCCCCGTGGCGGTGCCGGCTACCGCCTCCTCCGGGGCCGCTGATGTCGGTTTTCTCTCTCTGGTTGCAGGGGGCGCCGCCCAGAGGCCGCCGGGAGCGAAGAGGTGGGTCCGACGGGCCTGTCCCGCGTAGGGGGGATTTGCTCCATGCCCTCTCCTGTCCCTGTAATTAGCCTAATTCAGTTTAATTAGCTCTGCTAGACCTCCGCGGCCACCAAACGAGAGTCTCTGGGAGCCAAAATCCCACCGGAGAGGTGCTGTGGCCGCCTCGTTTTTCCTAGGATACCATTTCTGATAAGTGGCCACCTCATTTTTCTTAGGATGCCATTTCGGACAGATGGCCACCTCATTTTTCCTAGGATGCTACTTCCAGCAGGGGTGGCCACCCCATTTTTCGGGGACTGGCTGGCTCTCGGGGTCTGTCTCTGAGTCACAAGCTCGGCAGAATTTCCCCCCTCGTGGCCCAGGGCCGAACTCACAGCCTGATCCTACTCCACCCTTGGTGGGTTTATTTGGCAACCGCCGCTGGCTCAGAGGTTGCCCCCCTGCAAGCCTTCCAGCGTGGGGGGGCCTGGCGTGGCCCCCCCCATTCCTACAGCGCTTGCCAGAGCGACCCCGGGACGGTTTGAGGCCTCTCCCCGCTCCCCCCGGGGAGGGGTTATAGACATCCCGGACATGCCCAGTTGCCGGGGGCTGCCAGGAGGTGGGCTCGATGGGCCTGGGGCGGGGCTGTCCCACGCCCTCCCCCCTCATCACAATTAGCTTAGTTCTGTGTAATTAGCTCGGCCAGACCTCAGCCACTGAATGAAAGTCTCTGAGAGCCAAAATCCCACCACAGAGCTGCTGTGGCCACCTCATTTTCAGCAGGATGCCACCACCAGCAGGGGATGGGCCAATTTGGCCCCGTGGCGCATTCAGACCTTTAGGGTTTTCTCCCGTTTCAGGTGAAAATCTGGTAAAAAAACACCCACTTCTAGGAAAAACGGGATAGCAACCCTGTGGAATGGCACACCATGCTGGCTGGGTAAGGTTTTACTGTTACTGGGTTTTACTGGGAATAACTCTGTGGTTGAAAGAGTGGAACTGGGGATACTGGTGAGCACTGGTTTGCTGTGAAATTGCCATCCCGGTGCCTCATTAACACTGGAATCCTCATCATCTTAACGACTCCACCCTTCTTTTCCAGCTGGACATCGGCACATGGGGGTCCTCTCTCTGCTGATCAACACCTCAGGTTGTCCTTCCCTGAGCTCCCAGTTGCTGGTTGAACGGGGGATACTGGGATGATGATGGGCGATGGTGCTATCTTAATAAAAAAGGGATTTCCCAGCGGGTTTTTGGCACCGTGTGGTGGCTGGGGGTGTGCGTGAGGGGGACACCCAGAGTTTGGGAGCTGCTGCCATGCTCCAGGGGGTGCTCAGCAAACCCCCATCCCCCCGCTCCTGTCACCACTGTGTCCCCACGGGCTGTGGCCGGGTGCCGGAGGGAAGTGACAACCCATAACCACAACCTGGGGCGGGGGGAAGTGTTGGGGACAGGCGTGGTGTTTCAAGGTGACACAGCCCCACAGCGTCTGCCCCGTACATCCCCCCTCCCACTCTCCCCAGCTTTGCCGTGTCAAGCTCAGCCTTGAGGGCGTGGGGTGAAGTCCCCACCCTGCCAATTTTGGGTGGCCCTGGTGTCACCCGGTGGGAGGTGACAGGGTGTTGTGTGTCCCCCCCCTGCCCTGCGCCTGCGCGGCGGCGGTTGGCGGGGCAGGAAGCGGGTGCCATGGCGGAGCTGGAGGGTCCAGAGTTTGGCAAAGCTGACTTTGTCCTCCTGGACGAGGTGACGATGGAGCAGTTCCTGGAGAACCTGCGCCTGCGGTACGGGGCCAGGGTTGGGGGGACACCCTCTGCGGTGCTGGCGGGGTTGGGGGGGACCAGCCACCCTGAGTCCCCCCCCACCAGGGGAGATGCGGAAGCATCCGGGCGGTGCCCAGTGGAGGGAAACTGAAGCACGGCCCCACTCCTGGAGCAGGTTGGGGGGCTGGGGAAGAGGGTGGTGGGGGGCAGGTGTGCACCCATGGGGCCCCCATCTTTCCTGCCTGCCCCATGGTGCTTGGTGGTGCCCCATAGCACACAGCCCAGACCCCATGGGGAGGCACCCTGGTGCCTGGTGTTCTGACTGTGCCGTGGTCCTGCCCCGCAGCACATCACAGGGTGCCGCTCCACAGCATACCACCCCACCCCAGGGCACAGCACCCCGCAGGACCTGCATCCTGCCCCACAGCACAGCACCCTGCAGGATGATGCTCTGCCCCACAGCACACCACGGGGGTGCCACTCCACAGCACAGCACCATTATACCCCACAGCACAGCATGCCACAGGGTGTGCACCTTGCCTCATGTCACCCCACAGGGTGTGAATCCCACCCCAAGGCACAGCACCCCACAGGCCACCACCCCACCCTATGGCACAGTGCCCTGCAGGATGCCACTCTGCCCTACAGCACCCCATGGGGTGCTGCTCTACAGCATTACACCCCACAGGATGTCATCCCTCCACACAGCACAGCACCCCACAGGGTGTGCATCCTGCCCCACAGCACAGCACCCTGCAGGATGCCACTCTGCCTCACGGGGTGCTGCACTACAGCATCACACGCCACAAGATATCATTCCACCCCACAGCACCACACCCCACAGGCCGCCATCCAACGCCGTGGCACGGCACCCTACAGGATACCACCCCACAGCATGCCACAGGGCGTGCATCCTGCCCCACAGCACAGCACCCTGCTGGATGCCACCTTGCCCCACCCCACAGGGTGCCACTCTACACCATCACACTCCCCAGCACAGCACCCCACAGGGCGCACATCCTGCCCCACAGCACCACAGGCCATCATCCCACCACACACCTCAGCGCCCTGCAGGGTGGCCACCTCACAGCACAGCACCCCACAGAGCGCCCCCCCCACCCTGTGCGCAGGTTCTCGCAGGGCCGCATCTACACCTACATCGGGGAGGTGGTGGTGGCGGTGAACCCATACCGGGCGCTGGCGCTCTACGGGCCGCCGGTGGTGGAGCAGTACCGCGGGCGCGAGCTCTATGAGCGCCCACCGCACCTCTTCGCCTTGGCCGACGCTGCCTACAAGGCCATGAAACGCCGCGCCAAGGACACCTGCATCGTCATCTCGGGTAGGGACTGACGGGTGGGTGGGGGGCCACCCTTGGGTGGGTCCCCTCACCCAGCTCCTGCCCTCCCTGCCAGGAGAGAGCGGGGCGGGCAAGACGGAGGCCAGTAAGTACATCATGCAGTACATCGCCGCCATCACCAACCCCAGCCAACGCGCTGAGGTGGAGAGGTGGGTGCAGCGCCACGGGGAGTGTGGGGTGCCCTATGGTGCCGGTGGGAGGGAGGGTCAGAGTGGAGAGACCAGAGTACCCCGTGTCCATAGTGATGGTGTGGGGTCATTGGGGGTGCCCTGTGGCTGTGGGGAGTGGTCTTGGGTTGCCCTGTGTCCATAGGGAAGGTGTGGGGAGACTGAGGGAGCTCCGTGGCTCTGGAGGTGGTCTTGGGGTGCCACATGTCCAAAGGGAAGGTGTGGGGAGACTGGGGATGTCCTGTGGCTCTGGGGAGTGGTCTTGGGGAGCCCTGTGACCATAGGGAAGGTGTGGGGAGACTGGGGGTACCACATATCCATAGGGAAGGTGTGGGGAGATTGGGGGTGCCCCGTGGCTCTGGGGGGTGGTCTTGGGGAGCCCTGTGTCCATAGGGAAGGTGTGGGGAGACTGGGGGTACCCCATGGCCATAGGGAAGGTGTGGGGAGACTGGGGGTGCCCCATGGCCATACTGGTGGCATGGGGGGACTGGGGGGCAGTGGTCTGTGTTCATCGGGGAGGCTGCAGCACCGCTGGGCTGA